TGTCCGTTGTGTAGACGTACTATTCCAATCCCTGCTGGTGGGGTGAAGGACTTGGCTTCTAATGTTTACATTGAAGAAAGACAAAGCGTCCATCAACCTGAAAGTAACCCACCATGTAATATTTGTGATAAGGATATCCAGTCACAATTCAGGTGTAAAGATTGTGACAAATACCTGTGTGGTTCGTGTAAAACTACTCATGATTTGTTTGTTGGAGATTCGAACCATTACGTCATATCACTTGACGAAGACGACACGAATGATGTCAAACCTTTGCGCCATGTGATTTGTCAACATCACCAGAAGAAGTTTGCAGTTTATTGTTCAGACTGTTCCAAAGTAATTTGTTCTAAATGTTCAAAGAAAGAACACGAACATCATACAATAATAAACAGTGATGACACTGATCAAGTTATTAAAGCGGCTAAAGCAAGTCTCGAGAAACTAAAGAATGATATAGACCGACAGATACAACGACTATGTGATTGTCGAGATGTGGTGAAAACGTCATCGTCAAACCTCCACAAATCAATCACAACAGCCTGTAAGTTGGTGGATCAACAAGTTACGGTTATTTGTGAAACAGTAAAATCTCAAGGTGAAATAATCAAACGCGATATCACGAAATCGAAAGTCGATGAACATAATCTTAACCAGATGCACGAAGAACTCGTCAAGTTAATCGATGAATTAAAAACAGGTAATGCCGAATTATATGACGATCTGACAATCGGTGATTCTTTGGATTTATTAGATGGGTTTCCTGATCTTAGAAACAGATTAACGGTTATAGAAAATAAACCGTTTTATATTCCAGATTTTAAGATACCAAGTCTGAAGTTGGACGATGTTGGTGACGAGGTGTTACGTAATACAATAGGACTGGTTGAATATACTCAATCAATACAACATACTTTTAATTTAATTCGTGCTGTTAATGGAAATATTTTTTCAAGTCCATGTTTTGTCATGCAGGGTACTCCGTTGTATCTTAATTTAGAGTATTACAGAGGCAACTGTTTATACATCTACCTTAAAATGATGAAAGATGCTTTCAAATCTCAGGTCACGTTCCAGATACTGAATACAAGAACTGGACAAACACCTCAAAAAAATCTACAAACACCACACGATACAAATTACCTCTGGACAATAAACCCATTTAGTAAAGATGGTTTTAATGGAGATAGTAAAACCCTCGATACCGTAACAATTAAAGCAACATTTAAAACCCTGTAGACAATTTCTCACAATGGAATATAATCACTGGTTATTCCATAGAATTATCACCTGTTTATTCCATTATACAATTGCCATTATGTCATATTTTGTGTTGTACGATTGTAATTTTAGCTAAATTTGACACACGTTTGGAATCTTCGAAACAAAGGGACATTGTTATGTATCACAAACATGAATGGCATGTTTCAAAATACAAAACATTCTTCTTCTTACATGACTAGAAATATCAGATGATCAGCTGTAAATTATTGACAGGGGCACATGTTATAAGAAATACGGTATTCAGTATTGGTGTTATTTTACCTAGATGAAAAATAACTTATTATAATATGTACATCATGATCAATATGAAACGAACATTAATTGTTGGACATACAAGGTCAAAACCTGATTAAACCAATACGGCTTTGTTTATATTTGGATCTAACAAAATGTTTATAAGTTATTTCTATCGTCTATTTTAAGATGCATTATGTTAGAGCAAAATATTTGGATGTAACAAAATGTTTATAAGTTATTTCTATAATTTATTTAAAGACGTATTATGTACGAGTTAAATATACTTTTATAACAAGTCTTTGTTTTGGCTTGAAATGTTAATGAGTCATTTATTCACATGACAATCTTATAATCAACTCCCTAGACTATCGGATGGTCGTGATTTTAAATGGATTATAACAAAATCGACATTCAATAATTTAATTTGAAAATGGGTAATCTAGACTAGTACGATAATGATCAATCTACGCTATATCTTCAAACACTGATAAATTCTCTCAGAATAAAGTCATTTGAATATTAATGTGAGAATATAAAGTATTACATTGTGTATATTTAGATGTTTGAATCACCATGTAGTAAATCAAGAGTGTAACAAACTACATTTAATTATAGTAGCAAGATTATGTCCATCTTTTATTGTAAGATCTGTTGAATCAGGGTTTTACTTCTCCCTTGACTGGCATTATGACAGTATTAGAGTACAACTAATACCACCATTGTATACCCTTGACTGTTCTTATTATGAAAGTATTAGAGTACAACTAATACCATTATCGTATCTAAACTAAGTGGAGTAGCAAGAATCGGGGGTTTTACTTCTCACATGACTGTCCTTATTATGAACGTACAATTAATGCCATCATATTAAAACTAAGTTGGACCATCAGGGTTTTAATTATCTATTGTATGTCCCTTCACTGTCCTTATTATGAAAGTATTCGAGTACAATAATTAATATCACTATACTATTATAAATTTCCTTGTAGCGCTGAACAAAAAACGTAAGAAGTATTCAACAGTTGACACACCCAGTGTATAATTATAGATGTAATTATTTATTTATGTTTTTATTTACGAAAATAAAGATTATTAGATTCGGTATGTTCTATCTTTAGTATCCAAGCCTTTTGCGTTATTTCATTGTACATTAGCATTATACCTTTATTCATTCTATATTGCCCGAAAACATAGTGCTTCGCGGTGGCTCAGTGAGTAAGGCGTTGGCTTGTTAACTGGGGGATCTAACCCGGTGTTGACCAGGAAAGTGGATCCCAGTTGACAGTTGGAATTTGATATAAGAATAGGCCATAGCGTCGCTTTCCGGGGAAAATTCCTCTCACAGAACACTGTATGACGTATGTCCGTATTCATTACCCAAATCGGAGCAGAACAGTAGGCCTCAGATGACAGATTTGAGTTGTGGGAAGCGGGAGAAATCAGTGAAAGGAAGCTAGATCGGGGTGAGGATCTTGAAGTCACATTCCAGTGCAGTACTAACTCCTACTTGGGCGTTGGGAACTGGGGCATCGTCGTCCAGGAACAGCAAGAGACCTGGAGGAAGCCTACCTCGGAGGTATTCTTTGATTTGATCCCATAACCTTAGCAATCTATCTGTGTATTCTGCACCATTTATGGCGGAACCCTTCTTTAGATAATCTATCATGATTACGCTCTCGGTATTCCAGAAAACTGCTGACACTGAGACGTTTTTGTTCTTCAGACAACACTCTGGGCACCTTAATCACCATCTTCAGTAGACGGCTTGGTCCCGCTTTGACTCCGTACATCTAGATATTATTAACCTTACAGTTGTTGCTTCAGAAAAATGCCTATTCATGTGCAAATTTTCATGGATTATTCGTTTGACTGATGTTGGATGTTTGAGTAACGTCGTGATTTGTAACATTGCACTATATGAAGGACCTTGGCTTGTCCACTAATGTCATCACGAAATTGCTTTGGTGTAAATTTAATCACGGCTCTGCATTCGGTTTTTCTCCATTTTGAGAGCACGTGAGTGGATCATGCTGTTTGCCGCCTTTATATAGGAAATTATATCCCGTACAAATCATGAGATACTTTTGTGGAACATGAGCGGTTTTGGGCGTTCCGTTCTGGTGATACCGGAAACGTTTGAGAAACCATTAATATTGTCCATTTCATATTATTAAGGGCAAGGTAAAGTGACACCATTTTGTCACAACACCTGAAAAGATGAAAAAAATATTTCAAAACCCAGAACAGTGGCCCTTGGATACAAAAGTCTAACATAAAAAACATTACTCACAGACCATTTTTTTACTACCACTGACCCTTTAAACTGATCTTGAAAGGTACTGTGGCATTATGTAGCATCGATGTCATTTGTGATCTGATAGCCGATCTCGGGAGAGGTGATTTTTTTTTAGAAAGATGGGACGAACTGTCAAAAAAGTTGGTACATGTGGTTTCGTCGTCAAGTGATCTCAAATTCGTTGAATAAATTTTATTTTCATGTTGGTAAGTACACACTGCATTCTTGCATTGCAACTTATGTTGTGGTGGTATCCATTTGGAAAAAAAATAGTTTTAATTGCTTATCCTGTATTTTGTTTGGGACTACGGAACGCCACAGGTAGCACGTGCCAAAGACGACAGTCTTCAATTTATTTTCCTAATGACATTTGGGCTTTTTGAAATTAAAACTTTGCCAAAATGCATTATTATCAACTTGAAAATTAATTGTTGGATATTTTCAATTCTTCTAGTGATAAATTTTGTGGTTTTATATATAAGTTAAAATTATCAAGTTTTAGCCTAGGCCTATATTATTAAATTATTTTTTGTCTTACTTTATTTAAGACATGGTTTGTTGGATTTTTCATTTTTAAAATTATTATATAATAATTATACTATTATAATTATGTGTCGTTTATTTAGGATTTGTTTCATATAAACTTTTCATTGATATACCTTGTAATTTTTATTCTTATTTTACAAAATTGGACAAGATAATTTATGCACATTATGGTGGCCGTGTTGCTTTAAAGTTAAAGGAGGTAAATCGCTAATATTTGAGACCTAGAAATTGCACAAATGGGTAGCATCGCATATAATAATGTAACTGATTTACATTCAATCGTTTCCGTTTTTACTCAAATTTCAATTCAATTATGTTCGGCGAAATATGTCAGAAGTCTCAATTGAATGACAATCTCTAGCGTCTGGTTATTCCAGTCTACAATAATAGTATTTATTGTGCATACTCTCCAGATAAGAATATGGCATCACCGCTTAACATGACTTGTGGAATATGTCTAGCCTCGTTCTTCGAGTACCTCATTACAAAAGGTCCTGAAACGCATTATGGTACACGATACGTGTACCAATGGTAAAATGATTATTTTGTCTTAAATATCGGATATCAGAAGCCCATCTTTTCCCCGGTAAGATCACAACATCAATGTTGATTTAAACTGACAAATAATTTGTATTTTCAAGGTGGAAGACTTTGGATGATATTGAGTTAGAGACTTGTGTAATTTGACAGATAAACAAGGAAAACTATGATTTCTATGGAATTTAAAGCAGCATTAAAAATTATGTGGCATTTATGATAAAAAAAACCCTTTAAAATGGTACGTATTGTCAATTTATATGAAAAAAAAACTCAAAAACATTAAACATTCCGAGTCAAATAAAATATGTGAATATGGTTAATGTATCTACAATGGTAGGTGTCTTTTTTTAAATCTAGCATACCAAAAGCAACCATTAAATACATGCCAATCAAAAACATTTCCTATCTAGACAGTTAAGTTACACTTTTGCAAAGTGACAAGTGTTGTGCATGGGCAGGGTATGCCCAAAATATCACTATTAATATTACACAAACCCTGTTGGCAAGTTTACAAATGTATGTAGGCCTTCTAGAAGACAGAAACATTGTACATCTGTGAATGGATGTGATTCATGTATGTCAGCATCTAATAACTAGAACATCTGATATCACTTCCCATTGGAAAGTTTGCAAATAATGCTGAATGTTTTACACATGTAAATGTATATTGAGAATTTGTTTATGTGTTGGATTTGGAAAATGAATTGAAAAATACACCTTTACATTATTTATTTTTCAGAAATATAGGCCAGGAACTGATATGTGATTTAGGATTTGTTGACTTTAATATAATAACAGGTGGGTATAACAAATTGTGCACATTTAACGCGCGCACATTTGATCACAAGGTCTGTCATTGAGTCCAGTGGCGTAGTTTCAGTTGTCCACTTGTATGTGACAGGCAGTAGGGTCGCCTGTCAAGCCTCATGGGTTTTCTCCCGGTCTTTCCACTGCTAAAGACCCCTACACACTAGCGTATTATTGAAATAAATTTGAACCATGTGTTAGTCCCGAAATGACCTAGTTTGTGTCCAGAAGACATTAAACATCTCTCTCTGTGTCTCTCCCTTTCACACAAATAATACATTCATCATTATGGTATAACTATATACATGTAATAAGCCTTAGCAGACATACATGAAAAGTCCCTGCAAAAAGGCTGCTATTATTGTAATTAGATGTCATATCCGGAATATGAAGGCTATTTGTACAATGTGTACCTCATATCATAGGGGCAATATTGCTGTCCACTGTGCCACTAGTGGTACGCCATACATCTGCAGTGAAAGTAGTGCATGAAACAAAATGGCCTTTTGTTTACAAAATATTTGAAAACTTTGAGGTCCTATAACTAATTTTTGATATTTTTTTTTCAGATTTCAAGTCTTGATGGTTGGAGTTTGATTATCTGAGCAACTTTTAGCCAGTTTAATTTTCCTGTGTTCTTTTTTATAAAGATTGTAGCTGCGCAGTCCTGACTTAGGAATTTGCTTCATTATTTGGTAAATATTTTATTTCAAAGTCATTATTTTGGATTTCCATCCATTTTTTATTGTTCTGCATCATCTCAGGCACATGTAGATACCAACATATTTGCATTAAAGCTGGTGTAAATCCCTTTTTGAGAACCTCCCATTTCAGGTGTTGTAACAAAATGGTGTCACTTTACCTTGCCCTTAAAGACAGGCAGACGGTGAAAGCAATATGGCAGAGAAAAATGATCGTCTGAATTGCAGTATTTGTTTAAACGACTTCAAGAAGCCTAAAATCTTGGACTGTTTTCATTCATTTTGCGAGAGCTGTCTTAGTGATTATGTCAGTAAATATGAAGAAAATGGCGAATTTATGTGTCCGTTGTGTAGACGTACTATTCCAATTCCCACTGGTGGAGTGAAGGGCTTGGCTTCTAATGTTTACAGCCTGGAATGTGGTCCCAATCAGCCTGGAATGTGGTCCCAATCAGCTTTGACTTTTGGCCCAATCAGCCATGGTCCCAATCAGCTTGGTTCCCCTCTGTTGACATATCACTGAAGCACGAAAAATCCCCAGGTTGATCGAACCTACTGACGGAATACAAATCGAGGGAAATCAATTATTTACATACCTATATATTTTTAAAAACCTTAACCGTTGCAGTTTCTTTCTGATCACCCATTATATACAATTTGTAGTTCCGAACACAGCTCAAACGACCTTACCTTTACAGGCATTACTCCGCGTTCAATGATTTTTTGTCTCAAGTTTATAATTTGCTGTAATAAGTGGCATATTATGTGGCATACTATTTGTCACATATCAGCAAGAATATGTTGCTTGTATTACAATTTGTTGGTGAAGTGTAACTTATGGAATTTAAATTGGCTTTGCCGGACTATTGCCATTCGCGGCAGAACTTCTAGAAGGTGTCATTCGGCCTCCAAACGTCAACAATTAAGAAATTTGGCAAAAACTTTATTTCGTGAATATTTTGAGAGAAATGTTTTGTAAGGAGAAAATTTGAAAGGTACTGTGGCATTATGTAGCATCGATGTCATTTGTGATCGGATAGCCGATATGTTTTTTTTTAGAAAGATGGGACGAACTGTCAAAAAAGTTGGTACATGTGGTTTCGTCGTCAAGTGATCTCAAATTCGTTGAATAAATTTTATTTTCATGTTGGTAAGTACACACTGCATTCTTGCATTGCAACTTATGTTGTGGTGATATCAATTTGGAAAAAAAATAGTTTTTAATTGCTTATCCTGTATTTTGTTTGGGACTACGGAACGCCACAGGTAGCACATGCCAAAGACGACAGTCTTCAATTTATTTCCCTAATCATTTGGGCTTTTTGAAATTAAAACTTTGCCAAAATGCATTATTATTAACTTGAAAATTAATTGTTGGATATTTTCAATTTCTTCTAGTGATAAATTTTGTGGTTTTATATATAAGTTAAAATTATCAAGTTTTAGCCTACGCCTTTATTAAATTATTTTTTGTCTTACTTTATTTAAGACATGGTTTGTTGGGTTTTTCATTTTTAAAATTATTATATAATAATTATACTATTATAATTATGTGTCGTTTATTTAGGATTTGTTTCATATAAACTTTTCATTGATATACCTTGTAATTTTTATTCTTATTTTACAGAATTGGACAAGATAATCTATGCACATTATGGTGGCCGTGTTGCTTTAAAGTTAAAGGAGGTAAATCGCTAATATTTGAGACCTAGAAATTGCACAAATGGGTAGCAACGCATATAATAATGTAACTGATTTACATTCAATCGTTTCTGTTTTTACTCAAATTTCAAATCAATTATGTTCGGCGAAATATGTCAGAAGTCTCAATTGAATGACAATCTCTAGTGTCTGGTTATTCCAGTCTACGCCGATAGTATTTATTGTGCACACTCTCCAGATAAGAATATGGATCACCACTTACCATGACTTGTGGAATATGTCTAGCCTTATTACAAAAGGTCCTAAAAGGTATTATGGTACACGATACGTGTACCAATTGTAAAATGATTATTTTGTCTTAAATATCGGATATCAGATGCCCATCTTTTCCCGGTAAGATCACAACATCAATGTTGATGTAAACTGACAAATAATTTGTATTTTCAAGGTGGAAGACTTTGGATGATATTGAGTTAGAGACTTGTGTAATTTGACAGATAAACAAGTAAAACTAATATTTTCTATGGAATTTAAAGCAGCATTAAAAATTATGTGGCATTTATGATTTAAAAAAAACTTTAAAATGGTACGTATTGTCAATTTATATGAAAATAAACCTCAAAAACATTAAACATTCCGAGTCAAATAAAATATGTGAATACATACTATGTGGATTTAAAATCCTCCAAACTGATGGTTAATGTATCTACAATGGTAGCTGTCTTTTTTTAAATCTAGCATACCAAAAGCAACCATTACATACATGCCAATCAAAAACAGTTCCTATCTAGACAGTTAAGATACACTTTTGCAAAGTGACGAGTGTTGTGCATGGGCAGGGTATGCCCAAAATATCACTATTAATATTACACAAACCCTATGTTGGCAAGTTTACAAATCTATGTAGGCCTTCTAGAAGACAGAAACATTGTACATCTGTGAATGGATGTGATTCATGTATGTCAGCATCTAATTAACTAGAACATCTGATATCACTTCCCATTGGAAAGTTTGTAAATAATGCTGAATGTTTTACACATGTACATGTATATTGCGAATTTGTGTATGTGCTGGATTTAGAAAATGAATTGAAAAATACACCTTTACATTATTTATTTTTCAGAAATATAGGCCAGGAACTGAAATGTGATTTAGGATTTGTTGACTTGAATATAATAACAGGTGGGTATAACAAATTGTAAATAATGTGGATTATTCCATTTGATGTACATACATTAGCTGAATGCTTTTTAAGTAAATTGGGTGGCCGAAAGGTTAACGAGTGCACATTTGATCACAAGGTCTGTCTAAGTCCAGTGGCGTAGTTTCAGTTGTCCACTTGTATGTGACAGGCAGTAGGGTCGCATGTCCAGCCTCGTGGGTTTTCTCCAGGTACCACTGCTAAAGACCCCTACACACTAGCGTATTATTGAAATAAATTAGAACCATGTGTTAGTCTCGAAATGACCTAGTTTATGTCCAGAAGACATTAAACCTCTCTCTCTGTGCCTCACACAAATAATACATTCATCATTATGGTATAACTATATACATGTAATAAGCCTTAGCAGACATACATACATTGTAATATAGCCCTGTATTCAAGTCATGAAAAATCCCTGCAAAAAGGCTACTATTATTGTAATTAGATGGCATATCCGGAATATGAAGGCTATTTGTACAATGTGTACCTCATATCATAGGGGCAATATTGCTGTCCACTGTGCCACTAGTGGTACGCCATACATCTGCAGTGAAAGTAGTGCATGAAACAAAATGGCCTTTTGTTTACAAAATATTTGAAAACTTTGAGGTCCTATAACTAATTTTTGATATTTTTTTTTCAGATTTCAAGTCTTGATGGTTGGAGTTTGATTATCTGAGCAACTTTTAGCCAGTTTAATTTTCCTGTGTTCTTTTTTATAAAGCTTGTAGCTGTGCAGTCCTGACATAGGAATTTGCTTCATTATTTTGTAAATATTTTATTTCAAATTCATTATTTTGGATTTCCATCCATTTTTTATTGTTCTGTATCATCTCAGGCACATGTAGATACCAACATATTTGCATTAAAGCTGGTGTAAATCCCTTTTTGGGACCCCCCCCCCCCCCATTTCAGGTGTTGTGACAATATGGTGTCACTTTACCTTGCCCTTAAGTGTCAGCTAAAGCAGATCTGGATACCAAAATATAGGCAATTCGGGTGTTGTGTCACTTCACCTTATCTGTAGTAGAGCCAATATTTAATGTAAGTGATAGAGGGGGTAGGGGAGGGTGTGTGAGGTAGGTTCGCAAAATTCCAATGAACAAACAAATGTCAAAGTGTAAATTTGCTATAATATGCCGACATGATTCCGTGGGGTAGTCTATTTAATAGCCCTATAGCCCCCTTAAGACTTTTACAGACTATATACTTCGCCGTGTAGTAAAACATGGCCTGTATATATCCAAACAAAAGTTAAGTTGGGAGGTTTACTTTTGTCCGACCCTATATATCCGACATATACAACGCCATTTCACCCTTAAATTTAATGGACTCTTCCATTAAAAGGCAACAACGATTGGATAATTGCTCGATAGTTTCCGCCAAATAGCGAAAATTACCGAAGTAATCACGTGCAATTACGTGCATGTTTTTGTTTATACATCGCCATTTTGGACTATTGAATTGAAAGCAAAAACAAAATGGATAGTAATACGAAGTCAGACGAATAATCAATCCTTTTTAGCCAACATATTGACGATGGAATAGATGTGAATGCAAATATCGACGAGGATCTATCCAAAGCCTGCAGAAATTTTGGACCAAAAGGCATTCTTTTCCAAGAATTCTGACAGTGAACCATGATTGAAGGTTTTCGGTATGTTCAGAGAAGGATTTGACCGACTGTTTTAAGTGGACTGTACCCAAAAATACTTTACAAAGGAACTCTTGGGCGATAAATACTTTCAAGTCTTGTAGTGTGTGGAGAAATAATCGCAATGTGGACGAAAAGAAAATTCTGAAAGATGTCTTAGACATGGATAACCAATCTAAATACATGTATGTCGATAAGTACCCCTCTATTTCGGTCCTGAATGTTAGAAACTGTACCATAACAAATTTTAATTGTCAAAAGAATAAAAATTAATTTCTGTGTTTTTTTGTATTATTTCGATCATCTACGTCATCAGCGGTTGATATGAACGAATATATCAACCTATGATGATGTCATGACAGGTTGTTATGAGATATAACTGCTATGGACATCAAAGTAAAAACTACCGCCAGTTGTATATTATTATAAACTAAACAGCAAAAGAAAAACCCGTCAGTACGATTTCAAAATCAGAGAGGCACTTTAATCAAATCATTCTAGAAAACGCCTTACTAAATGGATCAAAGCACTTTTTTGTGAACAGTATGTTGACACATTACTGAATAATTCATCACAATTCCAAGACATTACGAGAAGGTTTAGAGTCCGTACACAGTCTATACATCAGTATCTGGTGTGTCCATCGCGGGTGTCAAATAACAGCAGCGCAGCGTCTGTACATGCATGGAGTGGGCCAGGCGATTGATGAACGCCATTGGCACCTGGAACCACACTCTCAGAAAAAGCCTGGCGCAATCCATCGGCTGTGACTGGTCTCGGTACGACGTTATTAAGTCTCCTCTGAATTTTATACCAAAGATGTTCAATCGGGTTTAAGTCCGGACTAAGGGCTGGCCAGTGCATAACGTTAACACCGTTCTGCTGTAGAAAGTCCCGAGTAACTCTGGCGGTGTGGGCACGGGCGTTGTCATGCTGGAAAACGTTGTTTCGATGACGTGCGAAATGGGATATGGCGTTGGGTCTAAGAGCTTTATCGATGTAGCGCACTGCTGTGATGCCGCCTCCTCTCCCTGGACCAAGATTTTGGAACACCACATGACCCACTCTCTGGTTCAGGCCGATTCCACCCCAAGCCATTATGCTTGGACTTGGATCTCCCCATGAGTCTCGTTCCATGACACGCTGACCACGTCGACGTCATGTTCTGGTCCTGCCATCTGCAGTTGATACGCAATACCCACTCGCATCGATGAACAGAACCGTTCTCCATTGCCTGTGTCGCAGTTCTGGTGTTGTTGGGCAAACTATAGACGTTCAAGTCGATGGCGAGGGGTGAGGATCTGTCTACTACAATGGATGTTCTCTCTGGTGAGACGTCGGCACACTGTATCGGTACTGATGGGCCTTCCGTGTGTTCCCACTGTCTGACGTGCTGTCTCAGATGCCTGTTTGAAGGGATTCTGTACATGCTGTTGCGCAACATGGCGGTCTTGTTGCCTTGTCGTAACCCATGGTCTACCAGTTCGGGGCGATCATCCGTGGTGTTGGTGGCCCAAAAACGTTGCTGAAGCCTGTAGATGGTCCGGACATTGACCTGGAAGTCATTGGCAACGGCTTGGGCAGTGTGGACAGCGCCGAGTCTTCCAAGCGCCTGGTTCCTCTGAGTTGCCGTGAGTCGTGGCATGCTGCTGACGTTGTGTGAATGATTCAACCAGGTATGGGGGTGGGTGCAGTTTATAGGGCTGGTACCGGTGAACAGCATGTGCAGCATGAGTTACATGAAAATCAGGGAGAACACATAACCATCTGCATTGCGTCTTCCTGGGTTCAGTTCTGTGTTTGGGAAGGAAACTTATTGCTCAGGTAAAGTTGGAGATGTGTCACAAATATACAACAAAAACATTTGGCAGGTTTTATGCAATGCGTCTATTCAGAGTAACACACCAACCTGACGTTTCTTTTTTTTCTTAGTAATATTACACAAAACAGTATGATACTGTGGTTTATATGGAACACGGTAGATGTCTTATGTTGCGATGTTTTGTGATGTCTTATTAACTGAATGTCTTGTCTTGTTACGTTAAAGATACATTATGTAAGATTTAAATAAAGAGCTGACTATTCTTGCCATAATAACTCAAAAAAAGATAATGTTATATGAAAATATTGAAGATTTCATTCTGAGTCTCCCTTTCCTATCTTTAAATTAAAAGGGGGACCGTTCTAATCTAGTTAAATCTCGAGTATTCAATGCCATCGAGAGTTGATTATGGTCTTGTTTTGTTAATAAATGTCTAATTAATAGTTTATATAACATTTCTGGGCTAACGAAAGACATATGTTTAATGGTATTGTATCCTCTCAAATTACGATGATATCTTACTCACGATCTATAATATGGAACGCCGTAACTGTTTTATGTTTAGATGTTTCGTTAAGACGTGCGTTAACTGAGCGTCTTATCTTGTTAAAATCGTATCGTATCTTCTCAAATTGTCATGATACCTTCCTTTCGAATTATCAATTAAAGTTTGTTATAACCAAAGATGCAGTGTAAATTAAATATTCATATATAACAATAAAGTATATTATATAATCCCAGATAAAACCCCAACACAAAACACATTAAACAATTTTACTATATTACACACTATGAACGATACTTCATCCCCTACCTGCACCCAAAGAAAACAAACATGATACCTTCTCAATCAGTCATTATATTATGTTAAAGGAGCTAAATCGCTAACATTTGGGACCTAGAAATTGGCACAAGTGGGTCGCAACTCATATAATACTGTAATATGAATGTATATAAATGGTTTCCGTTTTTACTCTAATCGAATGCAAATTTCTAGCGCCTGGTTATTCCAGTCTACATACGCTGTTTGGTTTGGTGCAATATGTTTAGCCTCGTTCCTCGAGTCTCTTGCTAGAACTGGGGCTGAAACGCATTATGGTAAAATGTTTATTTTGTCTTAAATATTGGATATCAGAAGCCCATCTTTTTCCGGTAAGATCACAGCATCAATGTTGATTTAAATTGGCAAATAATTTGTGTTTTCAATGTTGAAGATTTTGGATGATATTGAGTTAGAGACTTCTTTAAACTAAAATGCTATCTTGTCTAAATACCATGTTAACTTGACGTGTTATTATCTTAAACTGTCATGCTATCTTGTACAGCAGCTACTGTGTTACATGTCGATGTGTTGTTTTGTCAAACTAACACGCTATCTTGTCTGTATGCTGTTCTACGTTACTTGCTATCTTGTCTATACGCCGTATCTACATAACTTGCTATCGTGTCAAGCTGACATGCTATCTTGTCAACTATATAACGTATTATTTTGTCCAACTGTCATGTAACCCTAAACCTAACACGAAAGGTCTCAACTAAGACCTACCTAGCACATTCCATATATATATATATATATATATAACATTTAGAAAAGGTTGTAGGACAGATTCTCAATTCGTAACGTATTTACTGTATACATTGAATAGAGCCACAAACTAACATACATATTCTATATATTGAAATCACGTGACACATATCTACAAGGTCACTATACATGTATATACTGAATAGAGCCGCAGTCAATAAATAACATATACATTGAAATCACGTGACACATATATCACTGGGAGTATGGTGACATAATAATATCTTTGTTAAAGACGCGCAGACGGTGAAAGCAATATGGCAGCGAAAAATGATCGTCTGAACTGTAGTATTTGTTTAAACGACTTCAAGAAACCTAAAATCTTGGACTGTTTTCATTCATTTTGCGAGAGTTGTCTAAGTGATTATGTCAGTAAATTTGAAGAAAATGGCGAATTTATGTGTCCGTTGTGTAGACGTACTATTCCAATCCCCACTGGTGGGGTGAAGGACTTGGCTTCTAATGTTTACATTGAAGAAAGACAAAGCGTCCATCAACCTGAAAGCAACCCACCATGTAATATTTGTGATAAGGATATCCAATCACAATTCCGCTGTACAGATTGTGACAAATTCCTGTGTGATTCGTGTAAAACTACTCATGATTTGTTTGTAAGCGGCTTGAATCATTACGTCATATCACTTGACGAAGACGACACGAATGACGTCAAACCTTTGCGCCATGTCATTTGTCACCATCACCAGAAGAAGTTTGCAGTTTATTGTTCAGACTGTTCCAAAGTAATTTGTTCAAAATGTTCAAAGAAAGAACACGAACACCACACAATAATAAACAATGATGCCACTGATCAAGTTATTAAAGCGGCTAAAGCAAGTCTCGAACAACTAAAGAATGACATAGACCGACAGATACAACGACTATGTGGTTGCCGAGAAAGGATAAAAACATCATCGTGTAAACTCCACGAATCAATCACAACAGCCTGTAAGTTGGTGGATCAGCAAGTTACGACTATTTGTGAAACAGTAAAATCTCAAGGTGAAATAATCAAACATGACATCAAGAAATCCCAGTTTGATGAATATAAGCTCGACCGGATGCACGAAGAACTCGTCACCTTAATTGATGAATTAAAAACAGGTAATGCCGAATTATCTGACGATCTGACAACCGGCGATTCTGTTAATTTATTAGATGGGTTCCCTGATCTTAGAAACAGATTATCGGTTATAGAAAATAAACCATTTAATAATCCAGATTTTAAGTTACCACGTTTGAAGTTTAGTGATGCTGATAACCATGAGTTGCGAAAGACAATAGGACAGATAGAATATATTGCTGAAGCAATGACCCAAACAATCTCAATATCTAATGTATTAAAAACGGTGAAAATTTTTTTCGTCTCCACGTGTTTGTTTATATTGGTCATTACTCATTATTTACATCGTACGTGTTTTTGATAGTCTCGTTTGTCACACAATTAATTTTTTTTCTGCAATATTATGCTATGCACAGGTTAGTGAAGCATAATGACGTAACGTAATGTAAACATATGTGGAGTTCTGTTTAAACCCGAATGACTTTGTTACGCTGTAATGTATTGGTTTGGAACAGAAATTTACGGTTATTAGATCTGGGTTTGATAGGTCTAATCAAAGAGTATGGAATATACTAAACAGGGGCGGATTTTGTAATTTTGAAAAGGGGGGGCGCTGCAAAATGACGGCATTGACCGCGGAGACGGGGCACGCCGCTGAGGGGGGGGGGGGGCCAAGAAAATTATCCGTCATTTCCTTGCATCTGTAGCCATTCCAAGAGCTATTTCCCAGACTGGTGTGTTTGAGTCGATGATTTGAGTCATTTGGGATCCCTACAACGGGTTGGGAACGGACATATTTGAGTCTGAGAAAAGGCACTTTCAGCAGTAAAAAAGGGCACTGTCGAAAATTAGGGGGGGGGGGCGCCCACCATTGAATCCGCTTCTGCTAAAAGACAATCAATACAACATACTTGTAGTTTAAGTCGTCCTGTCAGTGGAAATATTATTTCAAGTCCATATTTTATCGTTCAGGACACTCCGCTGTGTATTACATTAAGGTATGACTCTCGTAGTTTTCCAGACATCCACCATAAAAAGATGAAAGATGATTTTAGATCTCCCGTTACTCTCCAACTACTGAATGGAGAGGTTCCTCTAGTTCAAAAAGATTTCATACAACCAGATCAAAATGGCCAATACGTGTGGGGATTATTTTCGACCATGAGTGGTAAACTCCCGAATGCTGTAACAATTAAAGCAACATTTAAAACTACATAATTGGCATGCTGTATGTTTATAATCTTTCAACATTTAACTGTAGGTTGTCTTGATAAATAAAGTTTACCCTAAGCTTAGTAGTCCAGTCAATTTATAATTGCAAAAAAATACTTTTTTTTTGCATTTTTGCGTTTATTTGGGTGTACATGTATGTACTTTAAAATTTATAACATCCAAAACGTTTACCATATTTTGCGCACTGGAAAGCGATAAAATTAAAGATGACCGACATTCATACCAATGTACAAATAACTTATAAGTAGCGCAAACGCGACGTAGTCCTACAATAGCCTCTTACTAAAGAGTTCGCATAACGCACGTATGAAAAGTGCGAACATGTCAGCTACCGTGCTGGTAGTATTCCTGTGAGAATCCGCAGTCTCAATATCCATGTCGTTATCATCGTCGGATGATACGACCACATCATCTAAACGAACGCGTTTTCGAGCCAACTCTGGACTAAGCGAAGAACTGGACGAGCGTTTAGGGTGACGGGAGAAACTGTGATAAGCAGTTGTATCATCCCGCAGTCTTGATCTAAGGTCCGCTAGAGGAATGTCGTCCTCACTATGGGAATCGTCCGCCATAGGATCAGAAGGATCCTCCAGGGAGTCATCATGAACCTCCGCTGTCGTATCATTGCCCTCTGTGTCATGGTCAGGGGTAGTAATGTCATTACTAGTCAACCTATTCCCTACGTCCTCAACACCGGTTATGCTGGGATTACAAGTCATAGACCGGGTGTCATTTAAAGGACAATATTGGTGCCAGTCATTATCACATATGTGATAGAACTGGTTAAATAAATACCAAATATAATTTTAACAGAAAGATCATTGCTACGATAGCTGAGTTATACAGGATTCCTGAATCGGAAGTGACGAACGCCAAAGGAAAACACGGGCCATACCTCTATATAACTGGCTGAAGTGCCGACTGATAACAAATACATGGGCGAATTTCTGCTCACTAATAATTCCTTCGAAGAACAAAAGTTGTTATATTGGACTGTAAGAGGATAGCAGACAATTCGATACAGTAATTGAATGTAATTAGATAAGAGAACACAAGAAAAATAGAAATAGTCCGTACATTCCCTTGTTTATATTCATTTTATAGGGGAGAACGGGGCTAGTTCGCACCATTTTTAAGGAAACCAACATATCTCGATAACTTTTGAAGCTACGTTGCCGCCGCAAACAGGTGTGCCGTGAGATCCTCCTATGTGTGCCGTTTAGTTTGAGCCATACTATGTGTCTAAGACTAGTCTGTGGCTACAGTTGTATGCCGTCTATGATTTGCCATGTTTTTTATTTTGCAAAAAAATCAAATATTTTTCATATATATTAAGTCGGGTGTGTCGCTGTTTTTTCATGTGCACAAAAAGGTTGAGAACCACTGCCGCAGACCATACTAGATTAAAGGCAGTGGAGTTGGCTAATTTACGGCATACATTAAATAGTTTTATTGACAGGCGAACATCAAGCCTCGGCTGTATGACAGTAAGTGATATGTACCTACGCCTATACAATTGCGATGCGGCACCGGCCCCCGTCAGACCGGGGTGACGTCCTTACTGCGTTGTTGCGACCGTACGGCGACCAGAAAATGCACGAGGTCGCCGGCAAACGTGAACACAACGCGCGAAAATGTCCCCAAAAACTACAAACTTGAAAAAAAAGTCGTATTCTCATAGTTTTACAGTTCAGTTCGCAGAACCGTGGCGTTTGCTTTGAACATGCTCAAAATAAACGCGGTGACTCGGCGATCATTGGCGACCATGGTGACTACAGCACGATAGCTGGCGTTTCCACTATGCTTATGGCGATCTTAATGCGCTCTAAAACTATTTTCCATCGCCGTCGCAGCGAAGTAAGGACGCTACCCCGGTCTGACGGGGGTATTATTAGGAAAACTTGCCGCTTTTAGAAAGAAGTTCTCAAAACTGCGTCGTTCGAAGCGTATGTAGACTTTTCAGTTCAAACTGGTCCGGGTCTAAAGGAAATAGGATAAACTTGAAAGAAAAACAGCTTCAGACTTTGAAATCTTTGTATGGTAAAACATTCTTTAAATGCGTCGTCATGGGCAACGGCGTTGGTAATCAGAAACTTGAAAGTAGTCCCAATGGCGGACTTCGTCACACAGCCGAGGCTAGATGTAGGGTACTGGAATCTTCAGAGGTTTGGCCGAGTGGGCTCGAGATATGAATGGGGTCGGACTAACCCCGCTTTCCCCTACCTTATAAAAACATGGTAATGCACGGACTTTTTTTCTGTTTTTCTTTCGTGTTCTCTTATCTACTGGCAGTCAATTCTTTTTATAAATTGTTAGATATCCTCTCACAGTCTCACACAACAACTTTTAGTCTTCGAAGAAATTATTAGTGAGCAGAAATTCGCCCATGTATCTGTTATCAGTCGGCACTTCAGCCAGTTATATAGAGGTATGTCTCGTGTTTTCCTTTGGCGTTCGTCACTTCCGATTCAGGAATCCTGTATAACTCAGCTATCGTAGCAATGATCTCTGAGTTAAAATTATATTTGGAATGTGTTTAATTAGTTCTATCACATATGTGATAATGACTGGCACCAATATTGTCCTTTAAACTTGTTGGGTTGACTACTCTGCAGGTACGCATAGGTTGGGTATGCGCAGAGGGGATAGCCTCGTTTTTACAAGATTTGTCATACTTGCTTAAAATACTTTCAAATGCATCGCGCTCTGCATCCCAAGTATTTTCGTGGTGTACCAGTCGTAATTTGTCCGCATGGACTAATTTTGTGATTCCGGTTTGTTGGTGTTTGATTTTAAAATTTACAGGTGACGCAATAGTATGGTTGCCAATGATTAGTTAATTTTGAAGACTTATGTAACTTGGTTGCTGTATCATAAAAATAAACCGGATCACCAATCGCGAACGTTGTGTTATGCGCGCGAGCATTATATAATCGTTTATTATTTTTGCGACTTTCGTGTGTATTGTCCTTCACATCCACATACGCGTTGTGAATTCGTTGAAGCATGGTGGGAACATAGTCCTCTCCCATATACTTTAGTTTAGGTTTTAGTAAAGTATCCATGGGCAAGACAGGGTCTCTACCATACATTAAAAGAAACAGAATATATTTAGTAGTATCTTGAATAGAAGTGCGACACCCTAACAGAATACCCGACAAGAAGGTGTCCCAATCAGTATGATTGTTATTTACATATTTGGCAATCGTATCATTAAGCCATCGGTGAATTCTTTCTGTTTTTCCGTTAGCCCCTACACCACGAACGAATTGTGCCTCGGGCGAATTTTGGTTCCGTGCGAATTTGAGCATTGGGAGAATATGGGCCCCTGGCAAATTTGGGCTACGGGCGAACTTGGACTAAGGGCGAATGTTGGCCCCTGGCGAATTTGAGCCCCGGGCGAATTTGGGCCCATGTAAAGCCGGGTATCCTACGAGTAATTTGATAATGCATCATAGAAAGGTAATGAACATTGGTATGTTCATAACTTATTCATCCGTTAATTCGAAAACATAAACACCCTTTAGCCACCAAAGCTAGTTAAGAAGTTATTATGTGCGCAGTGAGCCTAAAATAACCTGATTTTCCCATATTTTTGGTATGTCTATGGTAATATATGTCGACAAAACAGCAAAGGAGGCTTCTGAAATTTTGCAGTCTATTAGTTTATTCATGCCCTGATTCTGTGAAATACTAAGCATGCTGCCATCACAGCTGGTTTGAATACTTTTTGATGCAGGTACCCTTTTCTGCGTGCTCACTTAGTCTAGTGTGCGACATTTTAATGTGTGTACAGTATGACTTAATGTGGTTATTTTTAGTCTAGTACTTATATTATGTATTAATGTGTTTAAAAACGTTATTTTCTAATACAAAGGTTACAATTATTATCGGTTTTTATTGACGTTCGAAATGAAAATAAAATGACGGGGGGGGGGGGGTGAATTGGGTTGAACGTCCAGTCGACAAATCAAGCAATTAACAGTTTTTTTAGGGGGGGGGGAGGACCTGAAGAAAACCCACAAGGTTGGACAGACGACCCTACGAGGGTATCCAGACAACTCATCCCAAAGACAATTCATCCCAAGACAACTCATCCTAAGTTAGAAGACAACTCATCCCAAGTTAGAAGACAACTCATCCCACTATAAAAGACAACTCATCCCAACAAATATAACTTATAAGTGATATTTGTTTCAATACAATTGCTATCTTTGAAGACCAACCAGACCATAACCAATCAGAATTTGTTATCTTAATCAAATTGATATTGTTGTTTTAATCAAATTGGTGATTACTCTTTGTTTTATTCAAATTGATATTGTTGTTGTAATAAATTGATGATTACTGTTTGTATTACTGTTTTAGTACTTTGTTGTTTTAACACATTGGTAGATGTGTTTGTTTTATTCTTTCATCATGAAGCACTTCAAACAAAATCAATTAACAAAACAACGATTAACTAAACTGAGTTGTAGTATTTACCCCTATTACAAACTAATTAAATTGGTGAAGCACATCAAAGACAAATATCATAATGCTAATTACAATGGTTTGAGTAAGTGTCAAAGCTGGGGTATTGTATAAAAATACTGAAATCAAATATTTCTGTATCATTTTTCAAAATGTCTGATGTCATTCTCCCTATGTGTTGGGTCATGGACCTTATGTGTAAGACTAAAGTAAAGATATATATATCATCTGAAACAATGTATAGAGTTTTACATATGAACTAAAATGTGATAAATATCAAAACGAATCTGGCGTCCTGTGAAGGATCGATAGAGGATAATTGAAGTTTGTGTTGCTTACAATAACCGAGAGCTGAAGAGCCAATATGGCGGCCAAGAAGAACAATAGTGATAACTTGGTCGTGACTCTTCTCTAAACTGTACTATAGTGTATATTTGCGTCGTATATAAAAGTGAAATAAAAAAAAAAAAAAAAAATTATAAACAAAACTATATAAACAAAAGCCATGCAAAATATAAGGGCTACAAAAACAACTGTGGGACCTGAAGGTGTTAGTGTGACAAATGAACTCAATAGAGAGAATACAATACTTATATCTCCAGTATATGGTGAGACAAAATTGTCATCAGTTGAACTTTTAACATTTATCCTAGCCCATGATAATTTTGATATAAAATATATTAAATGTCTTCAGAATATAGGAAATGGGAATTTCTATCTGACAGTTGACTCTCAACAATCTAAAGATATCTTTGTTGGACTCTTTGAATCATTTACCATCAATGATCTGGAATATGAGTCGAAAGGCACCATCAAAGCTATCTGGGAATACCCAGTAGACTCTATCCCGATAGTTATCTATAATCTATTCTATGAAATAGATAATAAGGACATTGCACGAAAAATATCAAACTATGCCGATGTCATCAGATGTGAGAGGCCATGCTACAAAAATTTTCCAACAATAGAAAGTGGGGTGAGAATCATTCATGTCAAACGCGTGTTCAAGCCTATCCCATCCCATATTTTCATAAAAGGCCTAAGAGTAGGCGTTAAATACGAAGGGCAGATCAGATATAATAAGATTTGTTTCAACTGCGGAGAACAGGGCCACCTAGGAAGGGATTGTCCCTTGCCTGACAAACGTACAAATAAATCTAACTTCTCACCCATCCCAGAGGATTTTCCACCCCTGCAATCCTCTCCATCTACAGAGCTACCTATAACTCCTGATCCATACAGAAATATAGATGAGCTACCTATAACTCCCAAAATGGATCTAAATCTGGAATACTCTCCTCAGGAGAATTCTACAACAGAAAATGATGAAACAGAGTTGAAACAAACCCACTCTGACACATTTGATCCAAATAATGATGTGAATAAAGACGACCATAAAATTATTGATACATTAATGGATTTTAATATAAACAAAAATGATGTTGCAGTCAAAGAAGCACAGGAAACTGAGTGTACCAGTGCAGACTATGTTAAAATCCAAGATAGCAAAAATACAAAGAAAAGGAATATCAGCAATAATGAAGATGTAACAGATAAAAAACTAAGAATGAAAAGTCCAATAGTTGAGGTCTTTAACAGACTGACTAGAAAAAACTGATATAATAACTAAAAAGTGAATTGGACTCAATTGTGAAATCATATTAACTGAATAAGTTTATATATAACAATACAATTATTATTCTACAATGTCTATAGTGAAAATCTTGATTATCTCACTAATTATGCATATTATATCCTCTAATATTCAAAGAGGCTTTGATGAAAAAATAAACATCTTAACAGATAAATTCAGCTACCCAGAGATACTCTGTTTACAAGAAACAGTGTCAAATACTAAAATTATAAATGAATCCAAGATATATCAAGATGGTAACTATAAAATTATATCAAATACTATTGATAATAACTATCTGGGAACAAGCATGCTTATCCGAAATGACATTGAATTTAAAGAACATACATATCCAAACTTACTACAAGGAAGGTACCAACATATATCATTATACATTAACGATAAAACAACCAATGTAATGAATATATATGGCCCTCCTGGTTCAACTAAAGAAAAACAAAATTTCTTTCAAAGTTTACACAATCATATAATAAATATCTATAATGAGAAAGAATACTACATTTTAATTGGTGATTTCAATGTAACAGAAAATAAGATTGATTCCAAAAATGATACCTACTACTCCCAGATAGTTATTGACTTACTTATCAATATCACAAAAATAATAGAAATATCAGATGTTTTCAGGAATAAATTTCCAGACAAGATATTATATACATGGTCCAATACAAGAGGTAGTGCTAATCGAATTGAGAGAGCATACATATCTAATAACCTACTAACTAGTGTTACACATTTAAATCACCATCCAAATACAAAATCAGATCACAAAATTTTATCTTTGAAAATCAATCTAGACAGCTATAGATGGGGAAGAGGATTTTGGAAATTTAACAATTCAGTACTCACAAACAACAATTATAAATCAACCATAACAAAATTTTGGGAATTCTGGCAAAAGGAGAAAACGAATTTCAGACACAGTAATGAATGGTGGGACAAAGGGAAACAAGAAATTCAATCAATCACAAAAACCTTCTGTATAGCCATATCAAAAATCAAACAATCAAAATTAAAACTTCTCTACAGCTGTCTAGAAGATGAAGAACAAACCCAGAAGCCAGATCAAAATAAAATTAACAAAATTAAAAATGACATCACCCACATTGAAGACTATAAAAATGAAGGATATATTATTCGGTCAAAATTAGATATAAATATCACTGACAACTCAAATATTGATATTTTCAAAATAGCCGAAGAAAAGAATGCATGTAATAAAAAGATAACACAACTTCAAAATAATCATGGGGAGATACATACAACTAAACAAGATATACTAAAAACCATACATGAATATTATACAAATCTATATACATCTCAAAACATAAATCCCTATACAATAGATACATATCTAAACAAAAATAACCTATCAAAAATTACACTTGAAGATAGAGAACAAATATCACATTTGATAACAAATGAAGAAGCGCTAAGTGCCCTAAAACAATTTAAAAATAACAAGTCTCCAGGCATAGATGGCCTATCAAAATCCTTTTATCTAACTTTCTGGAACATAATAGGTGATGACTTTGTAGAGGTGTTGAACAACATTTATCTGAAGGGTGAACTCACACCTACAATGAAAGAGGCAATAATTAATATCAGTTATAAAGGAAAAGGCAACTCAAACTATTTGAAAAACTACAGACCTATAAGTCTTATTATGTCAGGACTACAAAATATTAACAAAAATTTTGGCCAATAGATTAACACCAATGTTAAATAGCATAATATCTCCACTGCAAACGGGGGCTGGGGAAGGAAAATCTATACTAAATAACCTAATGTCAATTCACAGTATTATTACATACATGGAAGAAAAAAATATACCAGGATTACTACTGAGTTTTGATCAAATGAAAGCCTTTGACATGATAGAACATAACTACATTATAAAGCTATTACAAAAATACAACTTCCCAGAGTTCATTGTAAGATGGATTACAATAATCTATATAAACATTGTCAGTAGGGTGCAGGTAAATGGCTCATTTACAAGGGAGATTAATGTAACAAGAGGAATAAGGCAGGGGTGTTGTCTATCAATGTTAATATACTGTCTTGCCATAAATCCTGTTGCGGTACAAATAAATCAGAACAATTGCATAAAAGGAATCCATATCCCAAACACTTCTGAAGAAATAAAACTATTTCAACATGCAGATGATCTATCATCAATTATAACAAACAGTACATCATATACCTACCTTATAGAAGACATAGAATCTTTTGGCTCTGCCTCTGGATCAGAACTAAATCCATCAAAAACTGAAATAATAAAAATAAATAATATTACTATACATAGAAACGATATTCCACAAATAAATATAAAAACACAAATAAAACTCCTAGGAATATGGTTTGGTCACAACAATGTTGAAAAAAACTGGCTACCTATACTGGCAAAACTAAGCAAATTAATAGATAAATGGATAAATACAAACTAAAAATAAAAGATAGACTTTTAGTATTAAATACTTACATACTCAGTAAACTCTGGTACACATGCCGAATTATCACGCCACCAAAACACATTATAAAATCTATAAATAAGGAAATATTTAGATTTATCTACCAAGACACACCAGAAACTATCAAAAGAATGTCACTACACCAACCATTCAAAAAGGGTGGTCTAAATGTGCCTAACATAGAAAATAAAATAAGGGCAATGGCACTCCAACGAATTATAATCATGAAAAATAACATAAACCCATGGATTAATCTGTTTGCGTATTGGTTTGGGTATACACTTAAAGGAATATTGCCATGGTTAGCATCCAAAAAACTATCACATACAGTAAATACACCACAAATTTATAAAAACATAAAAACTATTTACCTTCACTACCGCGATAAAATAAATCTTTCAGACACCACAAAATTAAAACATATCTACAATGAAATAAACAAATTAGACTTTAATAAACCAAGTATTATGTACAAATATCCAACAATAGACTTCTTTAAAATATGGCAACAACTTGCTAGTATGCCTTATACCCTTTTCGATTTTGACCTCGTCATTTTCGTAACACATCAAGCACTGCCTACAAAACAAATATTATACGAGAGAAATCTATGTAGTAACAATAAATGCAGCCTATGCATGAAACATGAGGAAACATTTACACATATCTTCCTACAATGTGAGACAATAAAACTCTATAAACAAAACGTCCAAACCTACCTAAAAGAATTCTCCACAAATAATCATTTTGAATTTAATAAATACACACTACTGTTCCATGATGTAACATCACCAATTTTAATTTGTGGAATACTGTATTACCTGAAAACATTGTGGGAATATAAATGTAAAATCAAACCAAACAATAGCATAAACAACAAAATAAACACAGAATTGACGCAACAATTTCTCAAAGATTTAAATGCCACTATAGCTATGTATAATCTAACAACAAACACAGATAACCCCCAACTGCCCTAGTAGTGTAACACTGACCCAGTCACCCACTGACCACGATCGAAGTCACATGCTATTTCTAACCTACAATAATTATAAATAAGACACAGGACATGTAGAATGAAAGAATCTATGAACAAAACAATATACTAATCAACTCTTATCAGAATAATAAAGACATTAATATAGATAACATAATAAGAAAACCGTTACCTGTTCACCAGTGAAATAAAAACATCCGGTTACAGTATTCATCGACATCATCCAGTCTCTCAAAGATACATACGACTGACACCTAGTATAGTCTGCCGAATAAAACCGGACTGCACAAATTTTAATGTAATATATTATATATTTATATTTATTATATACTTGTACTTATTATATATTAAAACTTATTATATATTTGTAATTATTGTATATTCAACAATTTGTATATAATAAAAGATTCTAAAAAAAAAAAGCTGTATAGTTTGTGAGTCAGTAGTTCGCCCAAGACAGGAGGCTGTTCAGTGTGACGGGTGTGAACGATGGCAGCATAGGACATGTAATACTGGTAAGACTTTAATGTTGTTTTTTAAATTCAAAGCTATTGTATTAAATTCAACACTATTGTACTAAATTAAAAACTCAACACTATTGTATACTCAATTCAAAACTCAACACTATTGTACTGTCTTTACCTGTTGATCAGACTACATTCCATTTATCCGTTTGTCCTGATGTCGATATGCCAGAAAATATCCAGGAAAAGTAAGTACAAGCATAGTTTATCACATCCAGAACAAGTTTTAGTATTATCCTTATCCTATATCATAATCTATACAAGTTTTTTTATATTGTTAACATTCAGTTTTTATTGTATTTTTATTATGAACAGTTCATTGACGGATGAGTCCATAGGCGACGATTTATCAACAACAGAAGCAATAGTGACATACAAGGTCGTGGATAATGGTACCGAACGAGGGAAAAGGAAGCTTGTGTCCAGTGACGGACACACCTTTACCATGAAAAGGCAGAACAAGGGCAGTACTGAATGGCGGTGTAGTATTCGCAACAAAACAACCCTCTGTCCAGTTATTATAAAGGAACGAGCCGGGACGTACAACGCCAACACAGAGCACTCCCACGCCGCCAAACCAGGAATATTGACAGCAGTCAAGATCCAGGCTGAGGTAAACATTTATTATATTTTGACATATTAAATTTCATTACATATTATAGGCACCTTTGTATTATATTAAACATTGTATTATATTTTGAAATTAAACATTGTATTATATTTTGAAATTATATTATATTTTTAGTTGAAAGTAAAGGCACCTATGACACTCTTCGAGCCAGGTGTTTTTACAGAAAGACATACACACAAAAGATGGCTTTTGTTGCAGATTTTGAGGCAGGGATCTGGCAGGCTTTAAGGTCAGTTTTCGACAACCCAAGTATACATGGCTGTACGTTCCATTGGGGTCAGGCGGTTTGGAGAAAGATCCAAGAAAACGGACTTCAGGTATGTTACTTTTGAAATAATTGAGTATTTGAAAACGATATTATTATTTGATATTATTCACAACTGTCTGGTATTACTCACAATTAGTCTATGTTTTATTCACAATTAGTTTTTTATATTTTTGTAGACTGCTTACAGCCAGAAAGATGCTGTATATAAGTTTTTTAGAAAAGTCCTTGCCTTGCCATTCCTACCCGCTGAACATATATTGCCAACATTCAATAAATTAGAAGAAAAGGCCACAACCGATCAAATTAAAGTGGTTATGAAATACATAATGGATAATTGGCTGACCAGTAATATATGGACCATCCCAACATGGAGCGTGTTTGGCAGGACAATCCGAACCAATAATGATGTCGAGGGATGGCATAATCGAATCAACCAAAAGGCCAGAAAAGGGAATTTACAGTTTTATCTACTGATATCTTTGTTGTATAAAGAAGCAGCGCAGCTACCGACACAAATGAAAATGGTCTCAGAAGGAAAATTAAGAAGACACCAGAAAAAACAATCACGAACTACACAAAGCAAGTTATTTCAACTTTGGAATTTATATACCAGTCAGGAAATAAGCACCAACCAGCTACTAAAAAGATGTGGGGGGATATATGGACCGAACTGAAGGACAGACTTACGTAATAAATGACTGACTGAACGACAAACTGACAGACTAAATTACTAAATGACTGGCCTAATAAAATGTATTAGTTGATGATATTGTTGAGGTTATAATAAAATGTATTATTTAATAAATTGTTGATGTAATAAATTCATACATAAATGTATTATTTAATAAATTGTTGATGTGATAAATTCATACATAAATGTATAATTTAATAAATTGTCGATGTAATAAATTCATACATAAATGTATAATTTAATAAATTGTTGATGTAATAAATTCATATATTAGTGATTATTTGTGGTATTTATTTGTAACTTGGAATGAGTCGGGTGTTTTAAAAGTTGGGATGAATTGTCTTTTGACTTGGGATGAGTTGTCTTTTGACTTGGGATGAGTTGTCTTTAAAAGTGGGATGAGTTGTCTGGGATGAGTTGTCTTTGGGATGAGTTGTCAGGGAATCCCTACTCCATGTCACATATAAGCGGGGGATCGAAACAGAGTACCCCCCCCCCCCCACACACACACACAAACACACACACACACACCACCACCACGCCAATGTTTACACGGAACCTCGGTTTTTCATGCCATCCGAACGACATGCTGTCCCTCTGCCTTCCGTCCTACACCACTGACAAGGGGGTACCTCGCCAGAAAAGTCCCGACTACGCACTGAGTCACAGCGGCCCCTACTTCATTTCGAATCCGCACACAGAACTTAGGTCTTTTTTATTCCATCCTTCCTTCACAACTGACATGGGTAAACCCAGCCAGAAAATGTCCGATGAACTTTGATGAAATGAAATGAAATAGGGTTCAACGTCCTACTGTTCTGCTGCGATAGGGCTAATGAAGACGGACATACGCCATAAAGTGTGCTATGAGGAAAATTGTACCCGGGCAGCGGCACCAAGGCCTCTGCTTATATCGAATTCAAACTGCTAATTACGTGCACGCCAATTCATAGCCTCGGTTTTTCGTCCCATCCGAGCAACTAGACAGCTGTCCTTGCTAAGCCCTCCGCCCTGTACCACTGACAAGGGGAAACTACGTCGAGTGCGAGAAGTCGAGGTGAAAGCAATCTCGGAGCGAGATCCTCGTATTCTCCTCCTGTTTCCTCGTGTTCTCGCTCCCTCGCCCTCGAAATCCCTCTCTAGCCATTGCTGGATTGGCTTCTAATAATTGAGCTTTTGAGGAAGTGTGTCTATTCTTCTAGTTCAATCAAATCTATCATTTAAGCACAGTAACATGACAGTCCTTCGTTTAATCTTGGGTCTTCCATAAAACTTTGGACAAAGATTTAAGGTATTAAAAACGGTGAAAGTCTGTTCGTTTCCATACAGTGGTGTTTACTTTATGTCAATCCCGATAGCCTCGTTTGTCACGCAATTAGTTTTACTGCAATATCCTGCTATGCGCTGGTTAATTGAGCATGAAAAAACGTGCAGCCATGACGTAAAGTTATGTAAACACAGGTGGCATAATTTGACGCACACTTTTAAAGGTAATGCCTTTGTAACGCAGTCAGCGATTGGTTGTTAATGGGACTATCAATCAATCATAATTTAGGACAAGAATGTTCCCTCAATCTGGCAGTGAGTAGTGGGATTAGCTCTAATCAAACGGAACACTGCGAGGAGTATGAGACATAGCTAGCACGTTCCAACATTTAGAAGAGGTTTTGGGACAGATTTTCAAATCGCTACGTATTTACTGTATACACTGAATAGCGCCACATACTAACCTACATATTCTATATATTGAAATCACGTGACACATATTTACAACGTGACTATACATGTATATACTGAATAGAGCCACAGTCAATAAATAACACATACATTGAAATCACGTGACACATATATCACTGGGGGTATGGTGACATAATAATATCCTTGTTAAAGACGCGCAGACGGTGAAAGCAATATGGCGGAGAAAAATGATCGTCTGAACTGTAGTATTTGTTTAAACGACTTCAAGAAGCCTAAAATCTTGGACTGTTTTCATTCATTTTGTGAGAGTTGTCTAAGTGACTATGTCAGTAAATATGAAGAAAATGGCGAATTTATGTGTCCGTTGTGTATAAATCTACTGCCAGGAATAAGGCAGGGTTCTTGCACAGTAGATCTGAATAAACGTGTGTGTATCTTACAACTTCCTTAATTATTATTTTAACTAATAAATGTCTCCACAGAAACAGTCTTTTTTAGCTTCAAAGATTGCAACAGCTACCGTCACATCCACCATTTACCACAAATACTGCATGAAAAGTCCCCTTGACGTGATGTAATCCACAGAATACAACAATATTATCAAGTTCAATGAGTCCTTTTAATTACCATCAATACAATAATTTATAGTCAACAAATGGTTGTACTGCATACAAGCGTACATACAAAGTGGAGCGAAGTAGGTAGACGAAAGTTACGTTATATGGTACGTCACTTGCGTGCGTTTCAATCTGAAAACAAAATGAAGTACGATATAACGACTATAATGTATAATAAACTACTATCCATAACATTAAACATTTAAAATGATTTATGGTTGATTGACAATAATTAACTTATGTCCATAAAAAATGACAATAAAATAAATCGAGGCACGGTCACTTTAAACTTAGACTAGTGTAGTGCCGTACTAGGCAAATGCGAATGACATTTTGAACAATATAATAAACATAAAAACATCGTTACTTTTGAGTCATAGATCCGTTATAATATTAGGCTAAATCTTACCATATGATGCCGAATTAAAATCAGTTTTATTTTATTTCCCGATGGTGAAATAAAGTTGCCTCGTGCAGGGAATTTTCTCACACACGTGCATTCTAGAAGTTTTTCCAAGACATCCGTTTCTAGTCAGCTGATCGCTAGCGCGATCGCTGATTGGATAAAAGACCGATGACTCATGTACACAATATAACTACAATTAAAGTGACAAAGTTAAAGGGACATGTACATGAAATAAACTTATGGAAAACGAGTAGGTGTATTTATTTGCCGACCATAACGTGATGTTTGTACAACAGTGGGTTTATCTGTTGTTTTAGTTTTATCAACCACAACGCGGTTACACTCCCCCCTTAGATCCTCCTGGGGATCTAAATACTTTTGTACGGGTTGAC